TAAACTTGAAATAGGCAAGATAAACTTTAAAGAGTTCAAAAATTTATGTCATTTAATGCCATGTTTCATTATTTCGAATGTTTAAATGTTGCAAGGAAAGGTTTTATAAGATCTGGAAATTGTTGAGCGTAAGCAACTCCGGTTATGAAAAGTACAATTTGTAATTTGGAGAAAAAGATAGAAAAAATGCAAAGAGTCTAAAAACTGTACAACTGTAAACTGTGTCATTGCCGCTAATGCTTTACAACTATGTGGGAGGTATTTGTGGGAGGTATATGTATATTTTACCTCCATGTCTATATATATATATATATATAAGTTGTGGTATATTTATGAGATAAAGTACTTAATATCAGAGATATAAATATAAATATAAATATAAAGTGGACACTGAAGTTAACACTCAGAGGTTCTGAGTATGAACTTCAATCTTCAGTTATATATATATATATATATATATATATATATATATATATATATTATTTACTTAAGGATATTAGAGTGGAATTATACTCTATTTGTTCTCATTTTACCTGTATATATATATATATATATATATATATATATATATATATATATATATATATATATATATATATTATATTTTATATATATAATGCTTTCATTGAGACATGTTTCATTGAATAATTTAGACAAGATTTGTTTACTTCTTTTCAACTGGATCCTTTCATATTTACGGACAAGCTTTTTGGTGTCGTTATTAAAGGAAGGCAGAAAATCACAGTGTTGATACATTTTATTTTATTCCGATTACTTTCGACATAGCATAAGGTCATTATCAGGGTGTTGTTTATTTCAAGACAAATATTGTAGTGTTCATCATTTTCAAAGACAAAGTCTTTGGGTTCATCTGAAAGTTAAATTTTTATTTGTGATGTGAAGAACGAGTGTGAGTACGTGATCGCTTAACACTGCTTCAGAGGAGGTAATTAAGTATGGCGTGTCGAGAATTTGGAAGAAATTGTTATTAAAACTGTTAGTGCAAACAATTATATTTTAAACAATCTATTGTACACATTTTAAAACATCTGTGAAATATTCATAATTAGTTTTATTAAGGTTTAGTTTCAATTTTTAATATAGATAGCTTCGAAAGTTTTTAGTTTATGCTTATTATTTTCATGATGTATATTCAATAAGAATTTTTTTTCTGAATTGCGAATGTGGATAGGTATGCTACTAGAGAGAGAAATTTAAATTTAAAATTTTCAGCATCCACACTCATTCATGCCCAAGTGTAGTCGCATCAACGAAAAAAATCACATTAGTCGGTTCGAGCTCGACACACTGGACATAGGAATATATGTTTTCCTCCAGGTGTATAAATAGCGGTGTCAGACTACTGACTGCGGTGATTATTGAGTGATTATTGTGTGAGTATTGAGTGGAACTATCCAGTCGAATCAGTGTGAATTATTTTGCGTTGATGATTTGAGTTTTGATTTAGGATTTACCGCATGTTAAGCCGAGCGCTCTCCTAGTATTTGCAGAAATGATTATCTTTCGTTGACTTTTCCTTCTTTGTTCTTCTTAAGTATTTATTTGTGGTTGTAATTAAATACTGCCTTATCATAACATTGAAGTAGTGTTATACTTAAATACTAATTGCCACCGCACGTGACTGTTGTGGCCTTGTTGAGGACAGAAATATTGACACAAATAGAGGAATTGAGTTAAACAAATATACTAACAGAAAAGAAAACAGTAATACAGTCATATAAAAACGAGGAAGAATGTTAATTTCGACGGTCTGTCTTGACTGCTGCAATCTACACTCTCTAAAAAGAAGCACTACTTCTTTTTATTTTTAACTGGTATGTTAAAACCATGTTCATGTGTGCATGGGTAAATTAACATAAGTGTCACAAAAGATAGATAGATAGATAGATAGATAGATAGATAGATAGATAGATAGATAGATAGATATGCAGAGACAGAGAGAGGTAGACAGATAGATAGAAACAGAGAAAAAGAGAGAAAACAAACCTATATATATACTAACAGAAAAGAAAACAGTAATACAATCATATAAAAACGAGGAAGAATGTTAATTTCGACGGTCTGTCTTGACTGCTGCAATCTACACTCTCTAAAAAGAAGCACTACTTCTGGCATACACGTATTTTAATGAGTGTCCACAATCATTTGTAAATCATTTAAATTTAAAGTTTTCAGCGTCTTCTGTCACTCCTGCTCAGTCGTAGTCACATCGAAGTAAACATCATTTAGTCCGATGAAATTCTAAATGACAAAATGCGTCACACGAAATATATATATATATATATATATATATATATATATATATATATATATATATATATATATATATATATATAGTCTCCATAGCCACCTCTTAAAAATAAAAACAATCAATATAATTTGACCCAAATAAATAAAGCGATACATAGAATGAGAAAAGGTATAACCATTTTGTACTTGAATATAAGTATTTTAATGATTATACACAATCATTTATTTACACACACACACACACACACACACACACATATATATATATATATATATATATATATATATATATATATATATATATATATATATATATATATATATATATAATCACTTCACAACAAGCAAGGCGGGAATACCAGACGTAAGCAGGGGGTTAGAGAGTCAAGGTGAGAGAAAAGTCCGGGAATGGGGTATCGAGGAAATGATAAACGCTTAAAGGCGTCCAAGAAGATGCTGATTGACGTTGCATTAACATTTTTGAAAATTGTATTTATCAGTGAAGCAAGGCAACGGAAGAGTGTTCCACAGGCAGTAAGTGCGAGAAAAGAAACTGTCTGTTATATTCACCTAATTCAATAGCAAAGGGTGGGACCTAGATGCACAATCTAGTAGCATATATATATATATATATATATATATATATATATATATATATATATAAAAAGAAATATAGTCTTAAGGTGTGCTATATTTATGGAATAAATTGCTTAATATCAGAGATACAGCGTGTGTAAATATAAAAATTGAACAAATAGCTTTAATTAAATTCTCAAATCAAAACAAAACTGTTAAATAAGTGATATAAACAAATTTTTACTACGTTAATAAATAAATAAATAAATAAATAAATAAAATAAGAAACAAAAATTAAAAATAAAAACAAGCAATATAATTTGACCCAAATAAATAAACAAACGACTTCCGGTAAAATAACCGCCATAATAGAATACCCACAATGCACCACTAACCCGCATATATATAAATAGCCGAGAAAAATAACAGCATATGTGGCCTGACGATTGCATATAGCATGAAACAGACTGTCGCTTCTAAGTGTTGACTTCTATGTTCACTTTTATATTTACACACGCTCTATCTCTTATATTGAGCACTTTATTCCATAAATATAGCACACCTTAAGACTATATTTCTTTATATATATATTCAGTCATTTAATAAATGATAATTAATATACAATTATAGCATTTTTGCTCAACCTACTCAAATTATGAGTAGGGATTTGTCTAAATAATCTTGAATTTCCGCATTTGAGTATTGCCGCGAGCTGTATTTCTCGTAAAACCTTGTTTTATAGTTCAGTATGCGCGGTAAATTGAAATAACAATTGATTCAAATGTTAAAAGTAAAAGATATTGATTCGCTGAACTCGACTTCTAAATCTGTATGAAGATATTTGTGCTCTTTTCCAATGGATGAGGCCAGTGACTACACTCTTGGACTATGGAACGCAGTACAGATTTCTAATATTAACAGATGCAAGTTGACACTAATTCGTTTTTATGTGGTGTTTAGTTGATGAAATCAAAAGAAAATCAGATAGTTTAGACGTTGCTAATGAGGTCTAATGAGTGCGTTTCGTGAATTTTTCTACTACTGCAAATCAAATGTATGCCGGAACGAAAGAGAGAATCTTAAATAGCCGACGAAGATCGAGGATACAGCTATTTGATTCGAGACACAACGAAGTTTTTCAGCTTTAAACGACGGAAAAGGGTGGCACGACAAATAAGTAACAAAACTACCTAGAAAATTTCTTGCTTTGCTTCAGTTACAAACAGTGCTCACTAAGTTTTTAGTGATCAGCTAAAGTATGCCAGGAAGTAAAATAGAAATAAATAAATTCAACCTGTCGTTATTGTACGTCACACAAAAACCTGATTGTTTTTTTTTTATTTTGTCCAAAATGAATATAAATAAATGACATGGATAAATAAAAAAGAGTATATATGTTCGAATCGGAGTAGATAGGTTCGCCTATCGCCCGAAAAACACATCTCTCCAGACTTTTTGGAGTCAAGGTAGAGTAATAGATAACGTCTCAGATTGAGAAAGCGGAGAGTCGTGTTCGAATTCCACTCGAATCCATTATATTCACTTACGTGCATATAAAGGTCTCCCTACCCACATCTCTCTCTCTATATATATATATGGTATCAAATGACAATTGGAAAAAATCATACATTTTGCCGACGCGTTTCGTCTTCCGACTTTTTCAAGTCAAAAATAAAATCGAAATGTTTTTGTTGTTATAGTTAGATTAAAATTAAAAATTAAAAAGATAGACGCTTGTGTCTAAGCCTTTTTTTCTGGTTAATGTAAAAATTACCTTTATAGTAAGGGATTACTATTATTATTTTTTTTTTTTTGTTTTTCCATGTCGACAATATAGTTAAATTCCCAGATGAATTCTGTGGACAAGACAGATTGATATAAAATGACAATTGGAAAAAATCATACATTTTGCCGACGCGTTTCGTCTTCCGACTTTTTCAAGGCAAAAATGAAATCGAAAGCGTCTATCTTTTTAATTTTAAATTTTAATGTAACTATAACAACAAAAAACATTTCGATTTCATTTTTGCCTTGAAAAAGTCGGAAGACGAAACGCGTCGGCAAAATGTATGATTTTTTCCAATTGTCATTTTATATCAATCTGTCTTGTCCACAGAATTCATCTGGAATTTAACTATATATATATATATATATATATATATATATATATATATATATATATATATATATATATATGCATGTATGTATAGAAAGAGAGATATACTGATAGACAGAGACAAAGAGAGAAATGCCGAGCAATACATAGAATGAGAAAAGATATAAACATTTTGTACTTGAATATAAGCATTTTAATGATTATACCCAATCATTTTTGACGTTGGGAAAGATATGTATTCTCTTCTTCTCCCCCCAACTATGGTTAAATAGCAAGACAGACCAGGTTCTATAGCCTTGATTGGAGGTCACTTTCCCACCGCCGTAATGTTGATTTTCTTTTGCCTTTTCTATAAATACTTTTATGATAACTTTTCATATGAACTCTTCCCTATGATACATAGACTTTATGAATTTAAGCACAGTACGACATTAATAGAAAATGTTTCTTTAATTTCCATTTGAATTGGCTAGATGCAACAGCAAGTTCTATGCTAGCAGTTCCTTTTCTAGCATTTTTCGTTTGTGGAAATTCAACTTCCGGTTTTATTCTTTCCAACTTTGAGCTTCAAAAATTTAAATGCAATGTCAGTCGGTATCTACTGTTTTATTGATTACTCTTTCTTTTACACTCAGTGAACCCCTGCGTCTTAGCGGCATTACTGTCTTGATATGATTAAAACAATGTTAAGAAAGATGAAACTTTAGTACTAAAGCTAATTGAAGATGATTGACACAAAGTCATTGCAAGTGTGCTATACCTGAAATAGCAGAGACTCAGGGAACAACTCTTTCAGCGCCAACTTTATTCGAAAGTAACATTGTCGTTAAATTATATTTTTTCCTTTTAAAATATAAAATTAATTTAAAAAAAGGAAATGATAACAGATTCCACGGCCATAAATGTAATTATATTGTCGGTATAATATTCCTTAAAGAATTCCAATCAGACTTGATTTATGTTATAGTGGGTCAGCCATTTTGTATTGGTTATAAATAGGAATAAAAACTGACCCTCTACAATTTTTACAATATCAGATGTAAAAAAGACAACAATAAGAGAAATATTCAAGTAGAAGAAATTGTGAATTTGTTCAACAATAAATATTTTTTTATAAACACAACAAATATATAATATATGCTGCAAAAGTTGATAAACACAATAGAGTTCAGCTGCGTTCTCTCTAATTCAGTCTGTCTGTCGGTCTGCCCAGTACATCTTGTTCTGTGTTCTGATTGCTTTGTACACATTACTTGGCAAAACCGCCGCGTACGCATGATCTGCTTATAGGACACAGATTTCAACTTGTATTGGTAATATCCAATCAAGTTATGACGTGCCTTGGATTATTCCACTTCGATATTTGATCAATGTTGACAAACATACGCATATAGTACCGTTTAGAGCAAGCGAAACTGTAAATCAGCAACGGAGGAGATAATTTATTAAATGAATGTGTTTTAGTTTGTTGATAGTAACATTCTCCCAGGTAAGGGTTAAATAGCAGGGGAAACTGTACTCACTAGCTTTCATTGGAAACCAGTAAAGGATTATAGAAATATATGCAAAAATATATTCGGCCCTGGTGGGGGCGCATATATTTTGATTGATTCTTTTTGTACGGTTTATCAAACCGTTACATGTTATTTAGTGCCAGAATTTAGATTGTAATATTTTTTGAGAGCATAACAGTTTTACCAATTAATCAATAACTTGGGAAGAAGAGATGGATACCTACGTTTCCCAAGGGTAGTTGCGTTTAAGTGAATGTAACGATGCCAACGGGAATTAGAACTCGGCTCTCCGATTAGCAATTCAAAGCCGTGATCCGTTGCATCATAAGCACACACAAGATTACCGCACCCAGTATTCCCAAACGGACACCCATCTAGGTGCTGACCAGACTCGACGTTGCTTAACTTTGGTGATCGTAACCGGTGTTTCATGATGAGGTGACCATAAACCCCGCTAGGGCAAGTACTTAGAAATGTAACTAAGGTCAGTTCATTAGAGGCTTTCACTCTGGCCAGTAGAAAATGACCACAAACTACATGAAAACTGCCGTAGAAGCATGAAAAAATCGATTATTTCCACTATCGATGGAGTTAGGAAATGCAAAGTCGGTCTTGGCCTTCCCGTTAACTTGGAGTATGTGCATGTAAATTCTGCTGCAAATCCGTCGGAAATTGCGGCCGTACATTCGTTACACACACATCCTGCCTTTTATAGATAGAGGTCAAATTATTTCGGTAATTCATATTCCATTGAAAGAATCATGAAAGATGTCTGCATGATACTAACAGAAAGCATGTTGCTTTCATTGGAAAGAAGAACAGTGTTTCGTTATTACAACTCTCGAAAACTATCGCTAATGACAAAATTTATTAATAAACAAAGATTAAAACTTTCATTTATCATGGCATCTCGTTTGATTTAAACCCAGTTCGTCACTTACGGAATTTTACGAAATAAACTACGGCCATCCGACAAGAGTATTTTGTAAAAATGGCTATATTGGGATTGAGAAAAGAAAACATTCTAGTGTCAGTTTTTGGAAATATAGTAAAATCGATATCAACTGGATTACAAGCATCAATAAAAGTTAAAGGTGGTCACACTAAATACTAAGTTTTTGTCAATATTTTTTTTCTTTTTATTGATTGATCTCGTCTTTTATTGAACTTCTCATACTCTAGCCAACTAACTTACAGAATAAATGGAAAATAATTGCCCCCCCCTACCAAAAGTTATAATTCAACATTCTACCAAGTTATGAAATCTCAATTACTGACTTGCCCGTCTATCTTAAATGTGCGACAAAGCTGAAAGTAATTGTTCTAGCGAGACAAGCTTGCTAAGCATTACACCACGACGAGGTGCCCTTGTTCGTCTATATTATGTCTAAATATGTATTGTAGTTTTAGTATGAATACGTATCGTAGTTTTTTCGACGAATGTGACCAAAATAAATTATTATAATAGGAAATATAAGAATGGCGATTATGTTTTAAATTTAAAATTACTTTCCTATTCTCTAAGCATCATTTTCAGCTGGAATCCCTGGCGTTTTCCTTGTATTTTTTTAATTCATTAAAATAATCCCTTTCTCCCTCCTAGGTATGACGATAACTACACCCGACAGCAAGGCCTCTGGTCTGAAGATTGAAGGTTTTGACGAGATTAGAACCACTTCTTAACTGCTGTTGTTCCCAGGTCCAACCTGTCCCGGGTGGTAGCACCTGCTAGGGTTCCAGCCATAGGTAAATATTGAACTACCCCTAAACAAAAACAAATCACTATGAAAGTATAAAGATACATTACAACGCGCGTCACAACCTCCAATTTTCCCGGTCAGAGACCTTGTTGCCGATTGTAGCTTATCTTCATACGGCATAGTAAGGCTAAAGTCAGTACTTAATAGCAGATGTTAAGCAGACTCGCTAGGAAAGTATTAAACTTTGTAAAGGCGTCCGTGTTTCTACTTTTAATCATACAGGTGCGTATTACAAAATCTCCATTTGAAGTAAACTTTAAAGAAACTTATTGACTCAAGATTTTCATTTAAGAACATCTTGTAAAAAAAGACGACATAAAAATATCTACGGTTATATTTCAAGAATATGAGTGACGAAGTAAAAGCTAAATTAAAATAAAACCCCTTAAAATGGATACAAATCATTGGTTTATATATATATATATATATATATATATATATATATATATATATATATATATATATATATATTACGATAAACGTGCAATCAATTTACAAATTCATGAATTATTCACACAAAAACAAAAGCAAAGGTTAATGATTTAAATGGCGAGAAATCCATCATCGCAAACAATTCAAATAATATACAAAAACCTCCGAATCCGTTATGTTGAATCATTTTCAATAGCATTTTCTGATACAACAATACATATATTTTCGTTGTCCTCTTATTACTAAGAGAAAAAACAAGAACAACATCTATTCTATACCTGAAGATGTCTGTAGGAACAGACGAAAGCTTGTAGTAAAAATAAGAACTAATACGGAAGAAATTTATGGAAACAAGGATCAATTCATTCATAACGGATTCGGAGGTTTTTTATATTATTTGAATTGTTTGCGTTGATGGATTTCTCGCCAATTAAATCATTAACCTTTGCTTTTGTTTTTGTGTGAATGATTCATGAATTTGTAAATTGATTGCACGTTTATCGTAATTTAAATAACTGATCCAAGTGCGACTTTTGGATAATAAGTGCGACATTACTGTAATTATTGAACAATATAGTTCATGCCACTTTGACAGAAAATTTACCAGTAAAAAATTCGTTCATCACCATATTTATATGAACGCACAACCTTTAAAAATTTAAATCAAACTCAGCGTTGCTACTGGCGCGCTCCAAAACAATAACTCATTTTCAATAGCATTTTCGGATACAACAATACATATATTTTCGTTGTCCTCTTATTACTAAGAGAAAAAACAAGAACAACATCTATTCTATAAATGAAGATGTCTGTAGGAACAGACGAAAGCTTGTAGTAAAAATAAGAACTAATACGGCAGAAATTTATGGAAACAAGGATCAATTCATTCATAACGGATTCGGAGGTTTTTGTATATTATTTGAATTGTTTGCGATGATGGATTTCTCCAATTAAATCATTAACCTTTGCATTTGTTTTTGTGAATAATTCATGAATATATATATATATATATATATATATATATATATATATATATATATATATATATACATATATATATATATATATATATATATATATATATATATATATATATATATATATTTCACTATGATGCTTTCGTGGTAAACACGGTGCCTGATGAGACGAGCAAAGTAAAAAAAGTACCAATCGGAACTGTTTCTCCTCTTCATACGTCGGTATCATTCATTCTTTTTTATTTTATTTTTAGTTATTCAGTTTTCTTAACTCCCTCTCCCCCATCTCTCTCTCTCTCTCGTTAGTTTTATTTTGTTTTCCGATTTCTTTTCTTTCAGTAACAAGCAAAGTTTAGCATGGCTAAAGACTAAATGAGAGAAATTGATCGATGAAGTTTGTAATACGCCATTTTTCTAAAGGAGAAATGTCTCTCTAGAAAATGTATTAGTAAAGCAAAGCTATACTTTCTCCGATTTAGTGTTTCTTTCTTGTTGTTGCTGTTTTCTCTGTTGTTCTAGTTCTTGCCATTCTTCTTTAAAAACTTTGTTCTTTCTTTCTCCATTCTTTAACAGTTTAGTTTTTACTTTCTTTTTTTCATTTTTACATCTAATTCTTCTTTCTCCATTCTTTCACCGTTTGAGTCTTTCTTCTACTTCATTTTAAACTTTATTCTTCTTTTTCTCCATTCTTTATCCGTTTGATTCTTACTTTTTCTTCTTCTTTTTCTTTTTCTTTTTCTTCTTCTTCTTCATTTTAACGTTTATTCTTAAATTTCCATATTTTTTATTTATCTGTTTGAGTTCTTCTTCTTCTTCATCTTTTTCTTCTTCTTCTTCTTCATCTTTTTCTTCTTCTTCTTCATCTTTTTCTTCTTCTTCTTCATCTTTTCCTTCTTCTTCTTCTTCTTCTTCTTCATCTTTTTCTTCTTCTTCTTCATCTTTTTCTTCTTCTTCTTCTTCATCTTTTTCTTCTTCTTCTTCATCTTTTCCTTCTTCTTCTTCTTCTTCATCATCATCATCTTTTTCTTCTTCATCTTCATCTTTTTATTCTTCTTCTTCATCTTTTTCTTCTTCTTCATCTTTTTCTTCTTCTTCTTCTTCATCTTTTTCTTCTTCTTCTTCATCTTTTCTTCTTCTTCTTCATCTTTTTCTTCTTCTTCTTCTTCATCTTTTTCTTCTTCTTCTTCTTCTTCTTCTTCTTCATCTTTTTCTTCTTCATCATCATCTTTTTCTTCTTCTTCATCTTTTTCTTCTTCTTCTTCTTCATCTTTTTCTTCTTCTTCTTCTTCTTCATCTTTTTCTTCTTCTTCTTCTCTTTTTCTTCTTCATGCTCTTCTTTTTCTGTTCAATGTTCTATTCGTTATTCTGTCCTCCTTTTTCTTTTTCTTTGTTCCTATTTTCGATATTATCCTTAGTCTCTTATTTTTCTCTTTCATTTTTAAATACATTCAATTTTCTTCTCTTTTGTCTTCTCATTTCTGTCTTTTATGTTCAATTTTCCATTTTGTTCTTCTCTTCCTTTTCTCCTCTTCTCATTCTTTTTGTATTTTTTTTCTTACTTAAACTTTCTTTTGATTCCAGTCATCTTCCTTTTATCTTTAGTGCTTTTTTTTATTGTATTGTTCTAGTTTTCGTTACGGACATTTTCGCTTGTTTTACGGCGTCTTCTTCTTTTGTCCATACATTTCTCCTATTTCGTTATTTTATTTATAAATCCGAAATCTTCAACATAAGCAATATTTTCATAATGATAGTTTTATTTAAAGAACAATTACAGATACCAGTTTCCGATAACGGAGACGCAAGCCAAAGTAATATGTAGGAAAATCTGAAGACATTCACATATCGTTTAATACCTTTAACGGAATACGAATAAGACATCGTAAAACATTACGGATTTACAGTTGCTCCATGTCAATAACGGAAGGAAGTCTATCGGAAATCAAAGTCATCTTGTGCAACAAGAGTACAATTAACAGTGAGTGTTACAACAGATCTTAATGCAGGTTAAAGTCTTTTGTCTGTTTTGCTTCATACATCAGGGAAACAAGAAAAATCATTCGAAAAATACATCATTCATAGCCATTAATAGATCATGCGATCGTTTACGGAGCGTAAGCAATTATCGGCGCGGAAAGTGTAATTGACGTGCCGAGTTCAAATCCCATTGCTGAAGCTTTTTCAGAAATACCCTTCAGAAACATATGAATCCAATTTTTTTTTTCTTTGGAGTACTTTTCAAGCTGTACAAACCCATCCCAAGTTGAGGGTTACGGTGTAAGCGGTAATTAGTTTATGTGCAGAAAAACCTAGACGTGAACAGGTTAAGAGTTAGATAAGAGTTATATTATTTTGTTGTGGATTCAAGAAATCTACATCGGGCATAATCGGAAACGAGCATCCATATTACACACACACACATACACACACACACACACACACACACACACACACACACACATATATATATATATATATATATATATTGAGACATTGTTATGTTTATACATTCTTTTTATAGATACAAATTTTTAATTAAATGCTCTGTTTATAATAAGCAGTATTAAACAATATTTACCGGCCTGAATGTCCGAGAAATTTTCACAGAAAATATTAATCATTTTACGATATATATATATATATATATATATATATATATATATATATATATATATATATATGGTGCAGATTAAGTTTATATTACAATGCATGGTGCAGTTCAATTTATATTACAATGAATCATTCATACAAAAAGTAAATTAGTAAAGCAATATCTTAAATTTTCCAAAATTTCAACCTTAGCCTTGCGACTGTAAGCTCCAAAAGTTTGTATTCGTTATCAATAACACATTTA